AAAAAAAAAAATGGCGGGAAAATACTGCGCGCCCGCGTCAACGTTTTGCAGTTTTGACAGGGGTGGGGGTGAGGAATAATCTACATTTCAAGTGAAATTTCTAGTTCAATTTAAATTTACCTTTATCTGAACACTGCAGACAACCTGTAAAAAGTCAGCCTAGCAAAAAGTATCGTATCCCTTTGTCGTTTTATTTATTACTTAATTTATTTTATTTGTCACACAAAAGTAAATTTACGGAAAAGGACTGCGTGAAGATTCCAAAGAGCGTGAACGAGAATAGACTAGTAACAATCTGAGCTGCGGTGTTCGGAACGACTTTATATCGACCTCCATAACTACCGGTAGCTGTTCAGGCAACGAAACTGTACTCTCAAGTGGCATCGTAACTCATGGTATGTTTGTTTTACCGTTGATTGCGTTAAACTTGAAACCTGAATTTCTAACCATTCCTGGCAACTGCTTTCAGTCTTCTGCACAATGCCAAGACTACCACACATTCCCAAACTGTAATGTTCCAAAACGAAATTTAGACAACATCTTCAGAGACCTTAAACAACCCACTTTTCAAAACAGAGACACTTTTCATGGAATTTCAAATTGTTTGTTCCTATTTTTGTTACATATACTGAGTAGAAGCACATTTAGAACTATAATAATACCAAAAAGGTTTTTTAAACATGTTTTATTTTTGCAACTCATTTATTGTGGTAGAATTTGGATTTGGCTTTGCATTTCACATGTTGTAATGGTTCCATTCATATATGTCATATATATGTTTAAGTACAGTTTATATGTACAAGTACTTTTTCCTCTTGGCTCCTTAATGGAATTCTCACAAGCACATCATGTCATGTGCTGAGTACGGGTTTTGTTATGGAAATGGTCCCTGGTTCTTTCTTCCAAATTGCAGCATCCAAAACCACATGTAATTTCTTTTTTTACAGCTTAGCCAGAAAACTTTCATCACAAATATCATTCTCTGTTATCCTGTACAAGAACCTGTCCAGTTTCTAGGTCAACAACTCTTGGAACTTTATCAACAATCTCCAACACTGTGAAGTATTTGCGATTGGACAACCTTTGACATTCCTTTATCACAACAAGATCTCCTCTTGCACATTCATTATTTTCATCATGGGCAAAATACACTTTTCTTTCATTGAAGAACTGAAATCAAAGCAGAAACACAGAGGATAGTTACAAAACATTAAGTAATACTAACAATTGAAATGTACATTGAGTATGTGGTCTGTGTGTGCTATGGGGATAATGTAGCAAGTTTCTTTGTAATTTAGACCAGGTTTTATATCCAGCTGAAGTTATTGCACTTATTTATCTTCCATTATCTTGCAAGCAATTTTAAAAGAAGCTGGAAGGAGGAATGGTGGCGTAATGGTTATTGTACCAGTCTCGAAATCAAATGGTACAGGTTCTGCCCCTAGCCAGGGTCTTGGATGAGACACTTTCTTCTCACAGTACCTCTCTCTGCCCAGGAGCATAAATGGGTACCAGCATATTGTTGAGCCAGCAAGACAAAATGTTGGGGAGAAGCCTTGCGATGGACAAGCATCTCATCTAGGGGGAGTGATAATACTCCTAGTCGCTTCATGCTACAGAAACCATCAAGGGCCAAGAGCCAGTTGGGCTTAACAGGCTTTACTACGTATTTAAGCCAACAAAGGTTTGCGGTCATTCTTGGCCAAAGTGGTCCACGTTCCAGTTTATGTAGCATGAAAACAACTATTACTACTACCTGCCCTGGGTGTGGGGAGAGTAGCAGTGCCAAGCTCACCCCAATATCACCCCAGTAGGTTTTCAGGATGCCCACTCATAAATGCTTGAATTAGCATACCCTTAGAATAAGCAATCCTCCTTCTGGGTAAAGTTTAAAATTAGCATCCCTCCTCATGGGAGCACTTCTCTCCCTCCCCTTTTTTGAGACAATAATTAATACAAAATGTTGTGTTTAATCACTTGTGTGACACTTTAAAGATTCATTGTTATTTCTAGTCACTACTTTACAATACAAGAAACCAGCTTCTTTTCTTCTAAGATCATTACATCTTACAATTTTGTGAGCTACTGTGGAAGTAAATGTTATGTATTGTAACGGAATATTTTAATGATAGTCCCCAGTGTACTTGCAAAGTTGAATTCAAATCAACTTTGCACGCATGCTGGTGATGAAGCCTGGAGAGGGGGGCACTCCCTTATATGGACTATCTAGGTATGTGCGGCCACAAAGGGTATGGTTTTTCGGCTGTCTTGGTCATAACTAGGGTATCGATTTGGGCCATTTTGGTTATCAATTGGGTATGGTTTTAGCACTCTAGTCTTGAATTAGGTATTTTTCTTAGAAGAAGCGACTTTTTCATCATTATTAATAAGACCGTCAACAAAAACCCTTCGTAACTTATGTTTGGGACAACTGTGTTAGCAGCAATGGTCATAAATAGGCTATCAAATTTCTGGTCAGGTCATAAATAGGGTAGTAAAAAATGCAGACTTTGGTCATGAATACGGTAAGGGTTCTGGGAAGTGGGCCGCACACCCCCACCCAACTTTTCGGGAAGTACCCTCCTAGGTGATGAAGACTGAGGTCAACCAATAACCTCTGATGTCGCTAGCCACTTCCCAGTTGGTTTCTGATGTTCATTTTATTGCCGCAGGAAAGCTGGCAGAGATGAAAACCACGCATAGGCTTTAAAATACAAAGAACCTCAAACATAGGAACTTGTATGAAGAGGTTAAAAAGTAGCAAGATGAGCTAAAAACGTTGGTCAGGCTGGATTCGATTCCAGTTGGAAAAGTACTTTTAAAACAACTTAATTAAGTCTTCTAGATGAAAATAAAAAAGCCAAAAATAAATTTAACGTCTTACCGTTTTCAATTTTGTATATAGGGCCATTCTGGTGACCAAAACCTTGACTGTCTTATCCATTTTGGTTCCAATTACTGTTCCAACGTACTGCGCCATGTTGGATTTGCAAACAGCACTGCATTTAAAACTATCTCAAGTGTCTGAATCCGGTCCCAAGCCTCCGCCGAAATTTGTCAGAGAGCCGTTAAAGCGTTCGAAGGTGTTCTTTTTGTTTGGAGAGGAAAATTCATTTTGATTCCAATTGGTCAAGGGATCAAAAGTCAGACAACCTGTCGGATAGCTGCGCAATTATGTGCTGAGGAGTTCACGTCTTGAAAGAGAGGAAAAACGAAGGTTTATTTCGCTATGCAGGCTTCGTACGGACCACCTCCTCCAACTGTGCCGTCCACGTCTCAATGTGTTACTCGCGTTCAGTTGAACATTTCTTGCAGGAATCTGCTCGATAAAGATGTGATGTCCAAGTCTGACCCAATGGCTGTTGTCATGATATTGAAAAACAGCAGCTGGTTCGAGGTAAGCTTATTAAAATGGTGTAGGGTAGCTTCCGCCCTATGAACATCAGCTTTTATGAAGAATGCTTTCTCTTGATGCAGCTCAAAAGTCGACTTAATCTTAGCTTTAAAATTTGTTTATTGCTTTTTTGTAGGATGCACTCGTTAAAGTAATTTTAATTTCAATAAATATTGCCACCTTTTGTTTGTAAATTAAAATTCCCGCGGATTTTGACTCCATCTTCAATGGGCAAATATAAATAAGCTTTATAAGCTCACGGTAGTCCTGGTACTTTATCAAAGGAACCTTTTGCAGTTTACACGTTCAACGTTCTTAAAGATATCATATTTTATTGAAAAATTTTGCAATCGTGTTAATTCATTTATTGTTCTGTACAGGTTGGAAGAACAGAAAAGTTGGATAACACATTAAATCCTCAATTTTCAAAAGCTGTAATCATAGATTACTTTTTCGAGGAGCTGCAAAAGTTGAAGTTTTTCATTTATGATATTGACAATCCAAATACTACAAGTCTTAAGTCTGCAGATTTCTTGGGAGAAATGGAATGCACTTTGGGTCAGGTTAGCTCATAAATCAATAAAATTATTTTGATATTATAGATACTGGGTATGTTGTAGGTACGTTTGTTTTTTAGGTCAGGATTAGTTCAAGCTAGATTTATTTGTTCCAGCCAAAGCGAAATTTTGCTAAGCCGGTTTACTTTTTGTTTCCACCTTTTTTTTATTTCTTGGTGGGGAGCGGGGGGGTTGCAGGCTGTTAAATGATTACATGTATAACATGCACACCACCCACCCCGCCTAACCCAAATCCCTACCATAACCCTAACCCCCCAGATCATTTTTTTTTATTATTACTTTCTACTTGTCTAGATAGAAACACCTGGTCTCTGACTCTGTAGTCCACCTGGCCTTCATCTTCACTAGGCCACGCATGCAATTATTTCAAATTGTCTCAAATTTTTTGGTCTAATAAATATTATTATTGGTCCCAGAGACTCCTTTCCCCTTTGACACAAATGAACCTAAGTTGAAATTATGGCCTAATGAACAAATGACCTACAACAGGTACATGTGCTAGAAATATAATAACTCAGATTCACAGAACTTTTTTCATTTAAAGGTTTAAAAAATCCTTGAGAATCTTTGACGATTTTCTTGGCAATCTTGTATTTCATCATATAAAATAATTCATAATTAAAAAAGGGGAACAAATACACAGAAATGTTTCCTGAGGTCTCACAATGATATTTCTGAAGGATCCTAAGTGAGTTCACTTTATATCCTCTGAGGAATTTTTTCTCAATTGCTGATGAAGTTCTTATCATATCCTGAGGATCTCAAAGCAACCCACGGAAATACAAGTTCTCTCTAATGATTTTTGTTCACAGTTTTGTGAAAGATCTTACTCAAATAGTTGATCCTGTCAAATTGTTTTCAGCTTGTGTCATCTGGAACCTACACAAAACCACTTGTTCTAAAAGGCACTCCAAATCAGGCTGGTACCATAACGGTGAGTGACATGGTCTATTTTAAAATCCTATCCTAATAAGGGTGTAATTAATGACCTTATTAATTTTATTATTGCCAGGTGGTGGCAGAAGAAGTTTCAGGTGGAAGTGATGAAGTGCTTTTACAGTTTAGAGCAGAGAAACTTGACAAGAAGGTTAGCTGTGGGGTTGCTACATTTAAATTATGAGGCACAGAAGCTTATAGAGGTTAAAGCATTCTGTAAAGGTGTGGTACTTTAAGTGCTCAGCCACTTAAATTATTATCACTACATGTATTTTTTATTGCACTTTTTCAAGACATAACTATGGACATTGTTGATGAATCATATGCAGCTGGTGATGGATAGATGAGCCATGTTACTCACATATCTATGAACATTTTAGGGGTTCTGAACATCATTATTTTCCATTCTCAAATGAGATGTGTTAAGATTTTTTACTTTGCCTCTGATATTAAAGATCAAGGAAGCCATGCACAACCTTGGGAAATAGCAGTACTTACAAACTCAATATGCAGTTCACATTGTTTTTGTTCTTACTGTTTAGTTGCCAATAGTAATTTATTTATTAATTAAATACTTTCCATCACATTTTATAAGTTCAGGGACTATCTCTATGTTAATGGTAATTCTGACACAGTAGTTTTCCATTAGAATGATTTACCAGCTTTGGGTTCAAACAAGTAGTGCTCAATATATGTGAGATAAATTCTTGGCTTCTAGTTTCATTTTTTTAATACTTCTGCCGGTTTCTCTAAGTATTTTATTTTTTGAATCAACAAACACAAATATACGGTCCAGTTCAAGAGCACCTGTCCCATGGATTTGTTTTTATACAGGATTTTCTTGGAAAGAGTGATCCTTATTTGGAACTTGCAAGATCAAAAGAAGATGGAACATTTGTTGTTGTGCACAGAACAGAGGTCTGTTTAGAAACACTGGAAATTTGCATATAAGTAAAGATCCTTACAAAAAGGAACAAGACCAAATATTGAACGATTATTATAAGTGGGTAGCGTTGCACTTGAAATGTGAACATTTTTCAGTAATTTATGTAAAACTGTGTATAATTTGATCATAAATTATAATGTATAAAGCTATTTGAATGAAACACTGTTCTTGATAGATATTCAAGTCCTAAATTTCAATGCCATTTCTATTTTACGTGTTAACATAAGGGCTGGTCTCTTGGACTCAGCATTTTGATCAATACAAGTTTTTGAAGAATGCTCAGAGAGATGCTTAACATGTTTACTTACAAGTCGTAATATTGCAAAAAAAAAATTACTGGCGAGCACAGTAAATGACATTTAGCTCATGTTGATTGCATTCTGGAATATTCACGACAGATGATCTTGTCAAAATCGCACAAATTATGTCACTCAATAACACAAACTGTCAATGCTCACATAACATAATAGTAATTAATAATTTATATTGCACAGGTTGTATGAATATATGTGATCACCTGCGCAATACAAAAGTGAGCTATAAAATAATATCTGCGTATTAAAAACTAAAAACTTAAAGTACAATAATGTAAAATGAGCTAAAACTGCATTAAAATTAGATAAATAAAGATAAAATAACAGTGTAAACAGTGCAATGTGAAAATCATTAAAGTGATGTGAAATTCTGTATATTATTACTGTAAGTGGCTGCTCTGCTGGCACAGCATTTAAATAATTGAATATTATTTTATTGATTAACAGGTTATTCAGAACAATTTAAATCCCAAATGGAAACCATTTCAAATACCAGTTCAACAACTTTGCAATGGAGACTATGACAGGACCATCAGAGTACGTCTGTAATTTTTCATTTCCTTAATTAGCAAGTTATTTAGTCAGGGTGAATTTAATCACCAAATTGTCTTTTATTAATTTACAACTATAACAATGATCAATTAACATATAAAATTATTGTCCTTCAGATTGCATGTTTTGACTGGGATTCAGATGGAACACACGACTTCATTGGTGCATTTACCACAAATCTCCGTGAGATGTGTTCAATTCAACAGCCCAGGGAGGTATAGGCATTAATTTTGTGAATCACCTTTTTCAAATAATTTTTCTCAGTAGGCCATTTTCCAGTTGCCTTATGCTTTTCCAGAAAATTCTATATCCTACCCACAGAAGGTTTTAATTATTGATTTAACCCCCCGCCTATCAGGGAATTTCAGCTACAAAATCATTATTTTTTCTTAAAAATTTCTTGTTTTCAAGACTGAGCCCCTTCCTCCTGGAATTTCCAGTGACCTTCCATGGGAAGGGATGGTTTCTTTAAAACTGGAATGTACCTTTTACCTCTGCATTAAAATGAGTCTTTGTGCAAAACCATTCAGTACACATGAAAAATTGTGTTTCTCCAGCACATTAAATTAAGTCCTGCATAAGGAATTGTTTTGAAACAGAGGCAACAGCCGACTTGGAAATGACCTATTATGCAAGTTTAATAAAAGAGTATCCGGCCTTTAATTTGCCTTTTTTTGCACATATCAGTTTTATTTTTTTATCAGTGAAAACTATAACATTTATAATCACAATATCCAGCCCCCATCTTAATTTTCACACAAATTATCCTGTGAAGTGATGATCGGAAATGGTTATTTCTCTCCATGTCATTTCTAGACTCAGTGGCCATGTATAAATGAGAAGAAGCAAAAGAAAAAACGTGGGTACAAGAACTCTGGATTAGTCTTCCTTTCAAAGTGTGAGGTGAGTATGTATAAAAGAAAGATTGTATAAATGCAGACTTACTGTACAATGGAGTGGCTTTCAATTGAGAGTTGAAAACCCAAAGCCAAGTGAAAGTAATGACTCTGGCCAAACACAAAGAACACAGTCATGTAACTACACAATCAAGTGAACAATTGAACCAAAACTTGAAATATATACTTGTAGCCAGCACAGAGCAGGGAAAAGTGTATAAGCAAGTAGTCATGATTGGTTTTGGTTTTACCTCTGATTGGATGACAAAGTGAGACATATTTTGTTAGGTCAATCACTAATCAACACTTATTTGTGAGAAGTGTTCTAGTCGGTAAACTATCAAAAATTGTTTTTCCAGCATAACCCCCTTGAACCTGTTAGATCTGCCAAGTGTACATGCACTTACTTTGAGCTTTCATTACTTTGTAGGTTGTTAAAGTGTCCTCATTTTTAGACTTTATCCAGGGTGGCTGTCAACTGAACTTTACGGTAGATTTAGGGATTGTCATATTTATAATTAAATATAGAATTTGGAGATAATCTGACTGATAGTTTCTTGATTCCTCTTTGGATATGGTAATCAACATGTACAGTGGAATCTGGATTTTTTTTAACCCCTATTCTTGTGGGAAAAGAAAATGATTTGAAACATTGGGAGGATAGCCTGCAAGCAGGCTGTCGTGTTTAGTCCAGGGGCACGGCTGGCAAAACCATCAGTTACACACATGTGAGTGGCAAAGCTGCCAGTTAATAAAATTGTGTACAATTTCCAGTTTATAACTATAATATTTTTGGCAAGCTTGTTTTTCATGTTAGAAACTGATGAAATCTCCAAAATTAATAATATCATTTATTACCTCTCCTTCATCTGTCAATATTATTTGAAATTAAGTGGTTACTCATTCTTAAACTGGTCAACAGGTAGGAATAGATTTTACAGCCTCCAATGGTGATCAGAGCAAATCAACCTCCCTTCACTACATCAACCCCTACGCCCCAAATGAATACATGCAGGCACTAACAGCTGTTGGAGAAATCATTCAGGATTATGACAGGTATTTATTACTGTCAGCGATTGAAAATGGCTTTGAGTAATACTTTCAAAATGTTTGGAAATGTTAAGATTTAAACATATTTGATGGATTCAATAAATTCGACTAACTTGCAAGGCTATCATGTTTTAAGGGAGTAAAGATGGTTATTTTGTAACTTTTGAATGGCTTTTTGTTTTGAACAACTAAACTTTACAAGAATGGCTAGATACAAAATCTAATTAAAAATTGCATTCTTTATAAATTACGAAGATTTTTAAATGTTAATAATAACAAGAAAATGATATGATTTCACTGAAACATTTACTGATTAAAACATTGATTGCTTTTGCAGTGACAAGTTGTTTCCTTCTTTTGGTTTTGGTGCAAGAATTCCACCCACATATCAGGTAAATTACCATGTCAATTACCAGGGCTGTCATTTTTTTTTTTGAGACTACTGTAGCTTTGATCTTCACGCTCGTAACAAACTTGTTACCTTGTAGGTGAATTGTATCAACTATAGTCCAGTTCACCTGTAACATCAAGGGCTCATCAAATATACTCAGCTGCAGCAGGTGTTATGGCCCTTAATGACTTAATAATAATTATAATGTCTATCATCTGAAAAATGCCTTGTCTGGTGAAAAGTGCTTTCCCTGGTCAGCAAACTCAGGCCATCAATGCACCCTCCAACTCCGTCTGCAATGCCAGCAGGAGGCTGTGATACAGGGATTGTATTGTTGAACCACTCCAGACACTGCTCTCCACAAGATTGGTCTTGACCAACTAAGGTGCTTCCATCATCTCACGAGATAGATGGATCCCTACTACTATACCTTAGAGCAGTTTTCAATTGAGTGTCACAAAACGAAAACCAATCACAAAGGACGCAGGCAATCCAGTGAATCAGTCAGAACTCAAAGTAATTATATCTAGCTGACAGAAAGCGTGGGAAAATGTGTACGAACTAATCATGATAACTGCTCTATATAGGGCGTACACTGATTTCGTTATTTATTTGTGATCTCATCAGTGTTATAATGAAAAGAAATAATCGATGATTTTAATGTCTGTCTGATGTGAACTTAAGTCATGTTCAATTTTAGGTGTCTCATCAATTTCCACTAAACTTCAATCCCAGTAATCCATACTGTGCAGGTATGACTACGTATTCTCAATAAGCATTTTGGCATTTCCTGTTCATAATAGGCATTTGTCACATGGCCACAGGCAAAGAGCTAGCAGGTCATATAAAGACAAGATTCTATCTGTTTTTGTTTTGTTTATTTTTTGTTGTTTTGAATAGACCATATTCATATTCTCAGTATTAGCCTAGGAATTCTAGCTTGCAAATGAGGCTAATGCAGGGAGTCTTTTCAAATGAAAATGATATTTTAAATCTCTATTTTATGAGATTCCCCCACATGAGCCTCCATTACTAGTTCCAGTCCAATACCGAGAAGACAAATATGGCCTATTGGTGTTTGGATGGTCTTTGAATAATTAATATTTGAATTAATTATTCATGAAACATCAGTCACATGAGTAGCCTTTTGTACATTATACTAGCATTTTTTCAAGCATTTTAGTGAGGCAAAAGCATTAAGTGTTATTCAAGCATTTTAGTGGCATTTCCCAGAAAATTAATATTTTTTCCGCAGAAAATAGAAATAAAAATTATACTTTTTTTTTCACAAGAAAATGAAGACTTTTAACTTAGCCTCTTCCCTTAAGTATCACTCACTGAAAGGGGACAAAAGATTAACAGAACAACAGATCATTTAGAGAATTATCTGCTGGTGTATTAAAACTATTACATACGTTGTTGTTAACCTGTTAGACTAGGTATACGTTTTTGTTAAGCACTCTGAACTGTTGACTGTGTTGAAATATTAAAATTATTAAAATTTAAAAAACCCTATGTATGAGCATTAACCAAGCATTTTAGTGACTTATTTAGGGGAGACCGAGCATATTAGGGGAAAAAATGGAGCATTTAGGTGGAGCATTTTAGTGGGGAAATAAAAGCATAATGTACAAAAGCCTACACATGAGTAACTTTTCAAGTACAGTCAGTATTTTTATAAAAGCATGTGTACTAACAGCAGTATTGTCAAGGATATTGTTATCAGAAAGGAAACAACGTTTTTCATTTTACAAAACAGGTTTCAACATTCCTATGTCATCTTCAATTGCGAATGTTTGACGGTTGTACATCTGAATTTTCACTGTATACAAGATTATGTTGTAGAATTACACCATCGATATCGTTATGTTTTGATACATGTCAAACATGTTTCTCATTGATTTTTCATAACCTGTTGACTTGTATGTTCAACTTAATCTTCTTTTTTTTTATCTTTTAGGTCTTCCTGGCTTAGTCCAAGCTTATCAAACTTGTATACAAAGTGTGCAGCTTTATGGTCCAACTAACATCTCGCCTATCATCAATCATGTTGCACACTTTGCAATGCAAGCAGCTCAAACCCCAGCTGCCACTGTAAGTTATAATAATTTATGCTCCAGTACATCTAAAGGTTTTTTTTTCCCACCCATGTCAAGCCTGTGAACAGGCCCTGGCTGGAAGGAAGGGCCAAGAACGATCTGGTCGTGGCTAGACGGGTCAAGAAGGAACTAGCTGTGACTGACTAGAGAGCCTGTTCACTAGCTACAGCCATGTCCAGTACATGTCAAAGAAGCCCTGCAGCCTATAAAGTAATTAAAACAGCACCCCTCACTCCCAGCATGTAAATCAAGTTACCATCATGTTTTATGAACTGACTTGTCAACAGTACAAACTGACAAATTGTGTCTGCTGTGAGACAGGTGAAATATTTTAAGCCCTTGCAGTGAGATGTATTATAAACTGAGTGGTCACCATTTTTAAGCCCTTGCAGTGAGATGTACTATGAACTGACCGGTCAACAGTACAAACTAACAAATTGTATCCACTGTGAAACAGATGAAATATTTTGAGCCCTTTGCAGAGAGACGAAACATATAGCTCAAATTATTAATAAAAGGGTTGATATCCAATCTAAGGGAATTTACACATTTATAATTGCCTGTCATTAGCACTACTTCATACTGCTCCTTTTGACTGACGGCGTAATCACAGATATGGATCAGACCAAGCAGGCTGTTGTAGCAGCTTCAGCGCTTCCTATGTCAATCATTATTGTTGGTGTTGGAAGTGCTGACTTTCAAATGATGGAAGAGCTAGACAGTGATGACAGAGTGTAAGTAACCAGCATTTTCAATGGTAACATGTTGCAATCAGGCATTCGTTTTTTCTGATCACCTCCCAAAAAAGAATGCCTGATCACAGGTTATTAATTTTCAATGTTTTGAAGAGTTTTTTTTGCAGCATACATGCATAATTATGTATGTTGTGGTTTAATTTTTACCATTGCTTGATATTTAATGTTGATGGATATCATGTGGTTATAAAATGTCACTCTGTAAAGCATCTTTTCTTATAAGCAAATTATCACATTGATGTATGCTGTGATTACACCTAGCAAGTGCACTACATGTAGTTAAACATAACACAGTAATAAGTGAACAACAAAGTTCAAAACTAACTTAGTTTCAAACAATGATATTTACCTCATAATGTGCAAAACAATGTCTCTATAGATCTTAATTAGACTGAAAAGGTGTGTTAAGATTTAAGAATTAAGCTTCTCATTAAAATACTGACTTTATATGCTAAACTGATCTTTGAAAAGGTTGAGAATTTTGCTACTTAATTTCTTCTTCTTCTTCTGGCTAGCAGGCTGATGTCACATGGCAAAGCTGCTCAGAGGGATATTGTTCAATTTGTCCCCTTTAGGAAGTTCAAAACTGTAAGGCTTTAATCTATTAAGTTTATGTATATTACAAACAGAAAGTCAAGACACAATAATGAAATTAATCTATTATTTAGTCTTGTAATAAGGATATAGATTGTGATTGTAAACACAGAAATTTGGAAAACCAAATGTAGCCAAGACTAATTAATAAATTAGCATTATATACTAAATACAAGGAGGTGCAGTGGCCTTATGGTTAGTGCGCTCGACTCCAGACTGGGCGGTCTGAGTTTGGGCCCTGGCTGCAGACATTGTGTTGTGTTCTTGAGCAAGACACTTTACTCTTACAGTGCCTCTCTCCACCCAGGTGTATAAATGGGTACTGGCAAACTTAATGCTGCGGGGTAATCCTGCAATGAATTAGCATCCCATCCAGGGAGGAGTAGAAATACTCCTAGTCGCTTCATGCTACTGAAACTGGGATAAGCTCCAGCCTGATGGGCCACTTGGCTCTTATGCAGAGTATTTAGGTACTAAATGTTTTAGATTACTGATCATAACAATACTGTTTTTTGTACTTTTGTTTAAACAAGTATATTTTTTTTATTAAGAGCATTTGCCTGAACAGGCTATTTGTAAACAATTCTATTTCAGTAGCTCATTTACATTTCACACTAATTTATACAACCTTCTATTTTAGGTTTCTCCTGCTGCATTAGCCAAAGAAGTATTAGCCGAGATACCCACACAATTGACAGGCTATTACAAGGCAAGAAGCATTTTACCGCAGCAGCGGCCAACACCCTGAGACAGTGTGTTTAATAATAACTATATTGGAACGATTAAAGGAAAACTGAGTGTCTAGTTTTAAGGTTATTTTAAGCCTCATAGGCATGTGGTCTTATTGGGCTGAATAGAGAAGGGAGGGGGAGGTTATTTAAAATCTAGTCCTTTTAAAAGAAATAGTGTGAATTTTGTGTCGTTTATTACTTATTAGACATCACATCTGGACAAAAACTAGCAGTAAAAGTTGAATATGGTGATGAATAATTTTAAAAGCATACTGTTAAATGCACCAGGTGTTGAAATGATTTTTTCAGTGCTGATATTTTAAGTTTACTTCTTGACAGAGTTAGGACAAATAGTCAAACAAACATGAAGACTGTAACAGACACTGTCAGATCTGCATTGTATTTTTTATAATCCAGTTTAAGTTCAAAGCTTATCATACAGACATCAGACC